TTTAGTCAAAATGATAAGAATACCTGAACTCTATTTTGTCTAGTGTCAAAGTACAAAATACAGATGAATAATAATAAGCTATTCTTCATTTTATTTTTCAATTAAACACCGTGTGAGAGTAAAGAAACAATGGCTTCATTTTAGATTCTAATATCTTCTCTCTCAAATTCAAACTAGAATTTTGAGATAAATTTCATCATTGTGGAATGTAATTTCGACACAGATTTTGAATTGCTTGATGAATCCTCTGACAATAATTCGTTTATGATGCCTTGACGATTGACTAGTCGTGATATTTCTTCTATTCACACTTCAGTTATTCCGAAATAAGAAATGGCGACAGTGTGTATTGTGTATCAAAATGACTTCGTTCTACACAATACATGATATCGTAAACCAATGTCATTGTCTATATCATTAGCATTGTAGAGATAATATTACTCTTTTTCTCACGTTTAACCTCAAATATGCATCTTCCCAATCTAGAAACACTATTCGAAGCAAAAGCACACTCGGTGTTCTAACACAATCTACTTTACTTGAATTTCCCATCAATTCAATAATTCTAGGTTTTTATAAATGACATCTGAGTGAGACAACTATGGGAATGAGTAAACATTGGACAACTTTTCATCTATTCCTTTACCTGAGTTAGTCAAATACATTTTGTATCACTGAACGAGTTTTAGATCTGATACTCCAATTTGTGTCTACTCCGATAGGATGTTTATACCATCAGAAGAGGATTTTATGTCACTAATTGACGAGTGTATACATTTTATATAACGTTCGCGATAAGATGTTCGAAACGGTCTTGTTCATTGATATGTAGATTACTCTTGTTGGTAAACATTATGGAAAAGCTTCATCTGTCATTCTGTAGAGGATAGATATTGGTCAATATTTTGCGATATATTTTCAGCAATTATGTTTTCGGTGATCCACACAAAATCCATATAACTAGATGTATTTTTAACCCACCTTTTTCAAGCTACATTGCATAGCTTACTGAGTAACATTTCAGTTCGTCAACACTGAAACTGGTTGGTTTTCGATAATTCTTCTCATGAAATTTTCTGCATAGTCAATTTGATATACCTGAGCAGCACCATTGTTGAACATGTATGATGCTATGTGAACGTAACGAGAATGATTGGCAACGCAAGTAAAGAATTCCCACAGTTGAAGAACATATGGAACCCGAAACAACTGTCAACTAATATCAGGGTCAGATTCTTTAATTCGAACGTCGAGACGGTTCTATTGTACGGAGCTGAAACTCGGGGGAATACTACAATCGTCATCTAAATGGTACAAGTATTTATACACAATTGTCTACAAAAGATACTCAACGTCCATTGATCAGATAACATCGGCAACAGCTTCCGTGAGGGAGAACAAGTAAGCTGAAGAGTAAATCTGAAAACGCCGATTGAACTGAAATGGACATGCAATACTCAAACTGCATCTGGAAGCCATCACTAATCTGAACTCTTGGAAGAAGACAGAAAAGTGGAAGGCTAAAGATCGAGATTATTTTATAAACTGACATTTTGAAATGTAATTACAATAAATTGACCTGCAAAACTTCATCGATAATAATGATTTCGATCTTTATCAGGTAATGAACTAAAAATCGCCATCAAATATAACCGAAAACAGAGTATTATAACGAACGATATTTCTCGATAACCTCTTCGTCATGCTCCACAGTGTTAATTCGAAATTCTTGTAATCTTCGGGTTACAATGTACAAAATATTAAAGGTGAATTAATCCGTGTAGTGAATTGAAAATGACGGACTTCAGATGGATGGAGTCCTCAAAAGTAGAACCTGGTAATAAGCCTCAACGAAGTAGAATAAACTAGAAAATAGGCAGTGATATTGAAGGATCAAACAACGAAACATTCGAACTTAACTTTCGCGACATCTTCCGTCGGTACTTATTTAAATTTTCATCGGTAACCGTCTAAAGGGCTCAGTGAAAGATTCTGTTGATAGATCCAAATTTTCGTGTTTGACTCAAGTGTGTAAACTGTGCTGTATTCAGATTTTATTGTCCAAAGGAAACTAGTAGACTAATCATTTGTCAGTTATCAGTTAATATTAAGTAGATAATGTTCAATATTAGGTAACTTGAAGGAAATATCTTGTTTCATTCCGAAGCTTACTTTATCTTTGGTTGATTAGCTGACAACTGTCTCCCTTGACTACGGTCAATCCATTGATTTCAAAACAGGTATTATTCAAACGAAACGAATACTATGATAGCGCTTGTCAGTGACTAATGGTTCAAGGAAATATTACTGCATTCCATACCCAGATAAATCAGCAGGTTTGACTAACAACATTAGACTATATTGAAATCACATGGTTGCTGTATAAGACGCCATTGTTCACAACATAATTTTGGTGTGTTGTCGTACGTGGAACTCTGAACAATAATATCCAGCATGTTGGATTGGCAGAATTGTAAAAATACAATAACATATTTAGTGAAAAGTATGAATAAAATTTCTGATTAAATGTCCGAAAATCATTTCAGAATATATGTGTATGGTAAATGGTGAATGTTGGGAATTTTTCTTTCCATATCTCAGAAATAATGTTAGGTTGGTTTGATGCTTAGATATAGTGGTGGTTGGAAATAGTCAACAGTTAATACTGGACTTGAATTTCATGCTAGTTGACACTGGACAACAAGGTTCACCTGTATTCTTGAGAGAACATGTGCTACCTGACATATTCTATCCAATATCATCCTGGTTCGCAGTCAGAGACATTCCTACTGAGATATTTGAGCTGCATAGTCAAAGACATTGGAATGTTAATACTCTTAACAATAATTACTCTTAATGCAATTATCATTAATGTTAGTTTCCCTATTACCAAAACAAACAAAACACAATAATGTTTACTGGGCAATATTAAATTTTACCTACATTTTAACCTTGTCAACCGGAGTTCATCACTGTAATCAAGACCTAATCTTTGTTTAACAGTATCGTGTGACTTAAACTCAATATTACAAATAACGTTAATTTGTTTTATTATTAATTCTCATTATTCAGAAATCAATTCTTCTGAGGTTTGTCATTTTCAACTTATTATTTTATGTATTGTAACCAAAACGTTGTAATATTTCTGAATTAGAACCGTAGAGCCTGACGACGAGGTTTATGAAAACGATTGTTCGCTCAACTTTCCTTTGTTTTAAATATTTTCTGAGGGCCATTAATCTGATTTATCTCAATAAATTACTCATTGATAGTAAACCTTATCAGTTGGACTGATTCAAGTGCTTAGCTGAACAAATCAATTCAGCTTGAACGTGTAAGGATAATTGTTTATTCTTCAACGTTTTATGAAAGTGATTCACAGTATCCTCGTATGGGCAGCTTGTGTACAGTAATCCCGATGTTGAGGCTATAGAGGTTAGTATAACAGTACTAGAATCTAAATACTTCAATTCTTTGAATGAAATAATGGATTCTACACTTACAGTGTCCACAATAGAGTTACAAAAATGAACCACAGGATGTATACAATCGCATTTGAATAGGGGCATTGTCCTTCGAAACGGTGGTTAAAAGTAAATGTTCACTAGGAACGCCCGCATTAATAGGATCTAAATGACAAGGCTTAGTACTACTTGCAGCAAAATAAACAGTAGTATTACAGACTGTCTGCACGTGTCCAATGTTTCCACGTTTAAAACTTTTGGCATTACGAAACGCACATGAATTACTTGAGTGGAATTTGCCACAGGATAGACATTTATCAAACTTGCGCTCACCTTTGTGATCTACTTTGCAATTCCTTGTTGAACCATCCATCATATTTCCACGAGAATAAAAATCATTGTTAAACAGACGCGAGTTTAATCGACCCTCAGAGTGTACTTTATCATGACAACTAAGTAAATTGTTAGAAATGTTCACCGACTAGATATCAAGTCTATTCACTGCTTCATAAATGATACATGCGATTCTTGCATATTGAAAAGAACAATTTGGCAAATTAAGCAGCTCTCTTTCCAAATCTGTTATGTTAATTCCTGTAATCGATCGATTTCCCAGCTTCACATGAAGTTGATCACCAAAATTGCAAATGGCAGCTTGTTTATGTAGTTCAAGGATACATTCATTAACCTCATGGCCATTGTGACGAGTCATCTTATGGAACGTCTCCCTTTCTCGACATTCAAACTAGTGCACTTCACGTGATTTATTAGTATTTCCTTAAGAGTTGCAAAAGGACGTGTGACGGGCTTTTCTGGAAATGCCAAGGATTCTAGTAAGCCTTGGGCTTATTTTCCAATTAATTCGGGGAAGTGAGCTAAAATTTTATCGTGCTTCATATCTTTTCTGCTTATGCTCCATGTTTCCAACCTTTACATATAATCCCCAAAAGATTCAGAATTTAAATGTATGTTCAACTGTTACATAGCACACTCAATGGCGAGGCCAATGTGATGTTTAGAAGTATTTTAACCATTGTGTCAACCAGGAAACCAAATAAAAGCACAATATAGACCGAATTGAACTGGGTGAGCACAAACAATTCAATTGCAATTAGAATTCAAAATCAGGCAGTCACCAAGCTCAAAGGAACCATCAGTTCATAAAAAGACTGTTAAGATCAGCGTTTTTGTAAATACTGTAAATACTGTATTTCGTTGTGATTTTTACAGGAAATGATTAGCGTTTTCTACAAAATTGGACACATTATTCTAATTAAGATACCCGTATGTGTGTCTACGACCTTAGCTCAAGTTCATTAGACAATCTAATCGTAGCAAATAAATGTAGAAAATTCTTTTGCGTACCTAACACTTGATGCCCACCCACAACACGCACATATTCCATTTACACACAACGGTTTAACCAATAATTTGTAAATTCTCATGAATATTGGTTCGGATTGGTTCAATAATACTGGTGCCAAGGTTATATAAACTCTCGACTCAAACGGTGAATAATGATACAAGAAAATGAACATGAGCTTCAAATATCTTCAGTTGTTATTAGTACTGACACTATCAATAAGTAAGTTGATATATTCAGTTCTACTCTCTTGTAATTCCAAATAATTAGTCTATTTTACTATCGTTGTGGTGGCCAGTATTAAACGCTGATGTGAACATATGTTATAAAATATATGTTGATTTGAAACACTTCTTTGAAATTGATGAAATGCTGTCTGATTGCTGATGCACTACCAATCGCTTTACTTGGTGGGAAGGCTTCATCAAAATCACTCACAAAAGCCGAATGCTGATCCTGCGACCCAACCTACAGAAATTATAGATTTACAAACAGATCAGCAAAATGTAAGTCGTCCCGCATAAAGAAGTCATCTACTTATGAACAAAATCTTCTACACAAATTCAAAATGAACGACATTCATCTACAACTTGTACGAATGGTAAATTCAGTAATTACAGATCAAGTGATTATCAAAGAAATTATGAGTTGATTATCAGGTCTATATACAACACATCATGCCAATAAACGTACGACAACGAGTACGAAATTTCCCAGAAAAAATTAATAAATGTCTGTATTAAATACAAAGAACAATGTGATCTCAATATTAACTTAATGTTTGAAAATTTGAGTGTGTAATATTTTCTGTGTGAGAAGCTTCTGAATTATACACTCCACGTTCCGTGACTGAGTAGTGAATATTAAATTATAAACAGATCTGAAATTAGGAGGCGATAAGTCGTGTACAAATATGCAACATAATTAAGTAACTGTTTGACTTATTTCACTGACAATAAAAAGAATCATATAATCTCCAGGATGCGGCGGTTATTATCATGACGATCTTCTTCAAATGCACAACTGATTTATTTCACTGATATCTTGAACTCCCAGTGAAAATAACCTATTTCAATGTACGCTGCTCTCATATTTTGTACAACATTCAAATGTTTCTGCATATCGTAGTTCATGGATCTTAACGAGTTGATTCTGTCGAGTTAAATAACGTGTCATCATGTTTTATTTGTCATTTTGTTGTGCAGCGTCCGCAATCAAGGCAAATCAACATGGTAATGATACTCAAATTCTGTAATTTGTTAACTTTTATGAAAATTTGATAAAACAACTGAACTAAATCACATCGAAAAGAGACGCATTCATAGCAAAAATTGTCAGATGAAAATAAAAACGCAGGTTTTTAAAGCAAATATTAGTTTCACAAACACACTTACATGACGAGGTCAAAATGAACACCTCACATGCACTAAATTCCTATAGGCAAAATTCATCGAAATTTATCTAGACACATAACCATTTGATAATATCTCTTTACAGACAATAGCGAAAATATTGAAGACGACGTGATTGGTAAGTTAGTTTGAATACGAATAAAGTCATTTGAAATCCATATCGTATGAATTAATCAGTGACATTATAAGATCATTGTTGACCACATGAGGTGCATTGTAACACCAGAGTGAAGCATTTGTACGTTTTTCCGTTTTGTAGACAGTCAGATCGCAGACCCACCAATTGGTAAACATGATGTTATTTTAATCTTTTTAATCGTGTATTATCTCATTGTGCAACTGGTGTAGTCACATATATAGCTCCTCGCTCCACACTAAGTGGAGAAACACGAAACACGGAAAACAATAACACATATGGTTAATGTGATGAATGGCATGCTATCATGTGAATGGTGAATATTTTCAAACGTTGGAATACATACATTTCATAACACTTTCCCGTTACATTTCATTTATGCGATGACTTGATGGACTGTGAAATGAGAAATTGATTTCAGAATATATTGTGTTTTAGTTGCGACAGATGAACCATCACAAGGATTGGTTTCCGACTTTTTCCAATGGCTTTGTAAGTTGTTATAACTTCAGTGTTCAGTGCATCGATTATTGCTCACAAAGGTGATATTTCCCTGTATCTAATTACAAAACATAACGCATTTACCCTTTATTATTTCAGTCTCGTTGTTCAGTTCCAATGAAGCGGATTCAGGTGAGCTTAGTCTCATACAGATTAACAGATAGCTATTTAATTGAATTTGTGTTTGCATTAACATAAGTGTTGTGTCATGTTAGACGACGGAAACCACTCGGTGCCCCTAGTCCGCATACTCACAGTTAACCAGCATTGCCCACCCATCAAGTGATGCATTCATTCCTGTCTCCTTCAAGTGACACTAATGCAGCTTACGAAAACTGTAGCAGGGAAACTTCATTCTAATTGGAATGTATAGTTTGAACTGAATGGCATGAGCTCCACTAGAAGTTAATATGCATACGAGTTGCTTCCGTCGCATACATTTCAAAGAAACAGCTTCGCTCTTCAAATTGCATGGAACGATGGTGTTATAACGCTCGGTTTTCTACGTGTACACGAATGGGACGTTTATTTGCACTAGGCGAATAGTCACACTAGATTTCTTTCTAGTGTCTATTCTACAGGACTTCAACACAACTCAGATCAAGCATACGTGATTGGCCTGACCCGAACGTGAATATATTTCCACACCGAAAACCGAAAACAAACCGACACAATCTGAGTAGTAATAAGCGCAGGAGAATAAAGGACTCATCTAGTGCCTGTCAGACTATGCACTAGTCTGGCTAAGCAAACGATCAATTATTACCATCGTTGCTCAAAATTCATCTCCTTCCAGGAATTTGTTTGCATGTCATCACCTTTGGGTCTGTTTGAAAACGTCTCGTTTGTTTCCCTTCTCCTGATGAACTTTGTCTACTTTCTTATTTCGATCAATTTCTTTTCATTTCAACTTGTGGTGTTGGTGGCATAATAAGTGTATCACATAATATTTCCATTGGCAAAGGTTTGTGTCCAGATGACTCACTAATAATTTTTCTATCTCTCAGTTGATTTACGTGTTTATAATTAGTGTATTTTGAACCATCACTTCATACAATACCTTCTCACTTCCTTTTTACACCGAAAAATCCATTTTGACTTTCCTGGTCGGAAATCGCATGCATAAACTAAGTCACCTGCTTTGAATTCTCGAATTTTCGGACAACTCCCTTCATCACTTCGTAGTCCACTCGTTCTGTCTTTCCAGTTCAAAACGTGAACGAACGTCCTAATTGTTCGGCTAAATGTTATTTCGGCTGGTGATCTCCCATTTTGAAACTTTGGACTAGGTGTAGTTCTATAAGATATTGAAAACTGTTGTAGAGTTTATTCTATGTTGTATACTCCCATCTTTGAGAGAGCTCGCTTAAGAATATCAGCAAATTTCTCTATTCGACTATTTGGTTGAGGGTGATACGGTGGGGTTGTAATATGTTCGATTCCATTTTATTTGCAAACCTCCGCTAACTCTGACGACGTGAATTGCGCCCAGTTATCTGAAACCAAAACATTGAGTGTCCCAAACCTACCAAATAGTTGCCTGACATGTAACATTGTTTCAGATGTAGGCGGTTCTCGTACAGCATAGATTTCAGGCCACTTAGAGTATGAACCTACTACCACCGAAAATACCGCCCGTTCGTCAGTCCAGCATCATCGGTGTGTACTCGGACCCAAGTTTTGTTAGCCTTTGACCATGGCTGGACTTCTACTTCTGACGTATTCAACGGTTGATCCCACAGGACACATTTATCTATCCAATCAATACCTAATAAGTTGGTATGACAGTTCCCAGAAATATAAGGTTTGCCGATGTTAGTCTTATCACCCAATGTGAGAGGTAGCTGCATTTTTCAGAGAAGAGTAATATTGGTTCCTGAGGCACGTTTAACATTATAATATACTGGTTGAAATTACGGTCAGCAAAGTTTAATCCAATTCTCTCCAGAAACCAATGTTATGTCGGTCCCAGTATAAACTTGCAGTTTAACCGGTATACCATTTAAGAACACAGTTGCGTACTTCGTTTTATTAAATTCACAATAGGATCTGACGTGATAGTGGAATTAGATACCTGAGGTTTTGCGGCTACTGACATATTATTGACCAATAATTCCAAGCGAACATTTTGCCGTTGCAGTAAAGACTTCGAATAATCTATTGTCCCGATGCAAAATCCAACTTAACTGAATACATAGGCGTAGAATGTTTTAACCATCGTCGCCACCGTAGTTTCATGTTGCAAACACATAAGAGTGATGATAAGATAACAAATGTATCACAAACAAATTAACATGACGAGGTCAAAATGAACACCTCACATGCACTAAATTCCTATAGGCAAAATTCATCGAAATTTATCTAGACACATAACCATTTGATAATATCTCTTTACAGACAATAGCGAAAATATTGAAGACGACGTGATTGGTAAGTTAGTTTGAATACGAATAAAGTCATTTGAAATCCATATCGCATGAATTAATCAGTGACATTATAAGATCATTGTTGACCACATGAGGTGCATTGTAACACCAGAGTGAAGCATTTGTACGTTTTTCCGTTTTGTAGACAGTCAGATCACAGACCCACCAATTGGTAAACATGATGTTATTTTAATCTTTTTAATCGTGTATTATCTCATTGTGCAACTGGTGTAGTCACATATATAGCTCCTCGCTCCACACTAAGTGGAGAAACACGAAACACGGAAAACAATAACACATATGGTTAATGTGATGAATGGCATGCTATCATGTGAATGGTGAATATTTTCAAACGTTGGAATACATACATTTCATAACACTTTCCCGTTACATTTCATTTATGCGATGACTTGATGGACTGTGAAATGAGAAATTGATTTCAGAATATATTGTGTTTTAGTTGCGACAGATGAACCATCACAAGGATTGGTTTCCGACTTTTTCCAATGGCTTTGTAAGTTGTTATAACTTCAGTGTTCAGTGCATCGATTATTGCTCACAAAGGTGATATTTCCCTGTATCTAATTACAAAACATAACGCATTTACCCTTTATTATTTCAGTCTCGTTGTTCAGTTCCAATGAAGCGGATTCAGGTGAGCTTAGTCTCATACAGTTTAACAGATAGCTATTCAATTGAATTTGTGTTTGCGTTAATATAAGTGTTGTGCCATGTTAGTTGACGGAAAGCATTATTTACAATTTTGTGGTTAACATTCCAGAAGCGTCTGACAATTGTACAAATGACGTGTCCGTTAAGTTACTTGACAAACAATGACATCTCAGTCACATCAATTCACCTTCATAAAAGTGGTAGTCATGAAATGATTGCACTTTACTTCTCGTAAAGTTCGTAGTGTCGGATCGAATGTAATCCCCATGGACGGAAGTGTTGACATTAAGAACGTGAAATAAAAATATCTGTTGACTCTTACTACACGTATCATCCGAACGGCAATTTTGAGGCTACATTTCGCCGGACAAAGTCTTTCAGATGTGTAGCCAATGTGATATTCACTAAATAATGTGTGACCTTGAACCTTCTATATATGCTATCCTGTTCGATAGTGCCTTCGTTTGAATGTAGTCCCAGTGATTTGGCAGTTTAGTGCACACAAATCAAGGGATGATTAGATGATTTGGAACAAATTTTGCTAGAAATGAGGTTAGAAATAGACAATCGATCAGGTGTTATTTTCTAAACAACCGGTTGAAATAGTCAACAAACCAGGATGCTTAAAAAATTGTAAGCAATTAAACACCAGTAACTCCATAATATGAAACACCATTCTAAAATTATAATTGAATGTGCTAACGTTTGTCGATCCCCTCATATCGATTCATCTTCACACATACGCATTTCATCTAGTTATTGTTTGCTTATATTGCTAGATTCATGGAAATAATTCAGATAATTTGAAACCGGCATTTATTCGCTTACTGTTATATTTTATTTGCGTTTTCGTCTTCATGTACAACCACCAAAATCTTTGCATTACTTGACATGCTTATCCTCTTCCAACAGTGGAAATTGTGAATTTCATTGTTTTTCAATGGCGGTTACTTATTCTGCATTATCTTCATTTGTTCTACTTCCATCATCTAACAGCACATTTTAGTGGAATTGGTCTTCTTTACCACATATATCTTTCGTTGTGAAGATGTTTACAGCACGCATTTTTTGAAATTTGTTGATGAGTGAATTCAATATTCCTTCGTAATGTTTTTGTTTTCAGACGTTTCTACCACCATTCCAGTCATACATTTTGTTAAAGTTAATTATTGGATATAACTTGTTAAACTATACGAAAATTTTATCAACACTATGCTGTCTAACTAGAACATGCATCTCTCCCTCCGTTTCTCAATCTTTTGAAATTGCATTTTGAAATGCACTGACTTGATATATGAATATATCTTGCATCTGTGTGAATGAGTTTGTATGATAACACAAATGTAAAGATGTTATTCCAGTTTACCACATATTGATAACTTCATTTGAATGTAATGAGGTTATTTTGAGAAAATTATGTTTGACATTTTAGTGTTAATTATGCTCATGTGATAATTATTTGGCCCTTGGTTTTCGATCACTATTGTAATGATAAGAGTGATTCAAAAGTTTGCTACACAATTTCATATTCTGTTCATCATCTCCATTAGACAGTGTCTCACTTCATGACAATAATATCTATCGAGGTGGTAAAACCAGTTGCGATGTAGAAACCAGCAAATGGATGTTCAAGTGATGATCAAATCAGATGTGTGTCTTCACTATGTGGTTTAAATCTAAGTGCATCCCTTTACAAAAACGATTTACACTGAACAGCTCTGAAATGAATTAAAATGTCAACGGATATAACAACTTCCTTGAGTCATTTTACATTGAGTTACATGGAACCTGATAATCACCAGTGTTGCAGAACAGTGGAAATCGCAGTCATCTAATCTATTATTGTTAAAATAGTGAATAGTATAGCGCTCAATTTTTGAAAGCAAACATGTTACTCCAAATATGATACATATGTCGGATACTTCTGTCTCTTTGATATGCATTTAGAGAGGTCAATTGATGAGTAGGATAGTGTAATGAAATGAATCTTTGCACATATTATTTGTATTGAATCAGCAAAATGTACTCTAAGATCTTTGACAAATACTGATTCCATTGCAGAATGTAAGTCTGCAAAACCAAATTACATGAGATTTGCATGATTATCACATCTTTCATTGATTGAATACAGATACCGTTTGGTGAGAAGAGCTGTGCAAATTCCAATGTAGTACTTCTGAGTGTGAATATGCCTAACTGAGATTCAGTGGAAGTAAATGAATTTAGGACAATACTGATCCCTGTACTCGTGTAAATATTTATCGGCAATTCCACTATGAATTGAGTAATTGTTATGAATTCAAATCTCCAAATAATCTGTCTTAACAAAATATCTGTTAAATGCTGAGGGTTAATTATCTCATCGGAGACTGAAGGCGTGCTGGATAAATTTAATACATTTCACAAATGAATCGTTTTTGGTTGCAGGTATTTTCTGTAACGTTAGTCGCATAAAAATAGTTGGTTCTGTTTACATCACATGTTTCGTCTTTATTTTCAGGCAACTCCGGTAGTCATCCGTGAAAATAATGGATCGCAAAGTGTAACAAACAAAGTGAGATAGAACACATTCCCAAAATATATCACTTGATGATTGTTGATTTTATCATGGTGTGGTAAAAAATATTTCTTCAGCAAAGGTTGACTCACAAATGATGTAGAGTTACAGAAGTATGTGAATGGAACCTGATGTTTCATAGTTCCATGAAATTACCAATTACAATAATCGGTGGAGACGAGACAAACCTCTCTCAACATTTATTGTTGTTGATCATCTATTGCATCATGAGTGGGATGCTAACATCATTCTTTAACCAGTTACACTTACTTCAGGCCAGTCATAGAAAGGTGTTTCTGAGCTGTGAACTAACCAACTCAATAAATCACCGAATTGAAGCAAACACTTTCAACCACAGAAGCATTATCCAGTGATTTGTACCACCTCAGCTACCAACCAGTGTCTGACGATACACACGGATACCTTCACCTCATGGATCACATTTTGTTTATCTAACTTTACTGCATAGTTGTTCTTTACTATTGGATTGATATTTTCTGTTCTCTTTTATTGTAGGTATGCAATTAGCTTATCTGTAGTAGTGAAGATTAGTTTAGGTAGATTAGATTAGTAACCAAATATACATTTACGTGCTAAACGAGTTGTTTTTTCTCCGAACCACTTGACTTCTACTCGATAGGTAAAGTTATGAGAAGGCAAACCGCGGCCTGGAGTTGTGTTCGCGAAACTGACCTCCTGATAATACGACTAGATAATTATCAAATAATAATAGAGAAGCCGGATATGAGTATTAGTATTACACGCAATCCATCAAGTATACTGTGTCTCGTAATGGACTTGAAAGTCACAGATTTTATCTGACTGCATAGGTCCACCACTGACTAACATAACAGCCATACTGAATCCAGAGAACAAAGTGCCTTTCGGTTTTTCAAACATGCTTAACTTACATTTCGTAGCCAGGTAGTATCACAGCTTGTTTGTTGACGGATGAGAAGTGATGTTCACATAAATATCTTGAGGAGTTAGTTTTCTTTTCCGAATCCACAAGATAACGGACAACAAGGTCTGTACGCTTGTTCACTGCCCATATGTTTTAGCAACTCATCACTTCAATAATCACGAGTAATAAAGTGTCATGTACGACTGTCTTGAGCCAGTATTATAGGGTGGTGGATCACTGACTGCAGTTACTGGGACTGAATGCATAGCGGTCGGGTGTATCGATGGCTTTAGTTTGCACTGCTAGCACGTTAACACGTACTGGCACATACCATCTCTCACGCCTGACTAGCATGCACTTTGTCCTAGTGAACCCGTTGTTCTTGTCATATCTTTGTGCGCTACCTGGTGACACCAATCTATCAGCTTAAACCGCAAGTCCTTCAGACCACAGCCACCTACAACATGATCATTTGCGTCTGTGGCTGCTATAAATGGTTCTTTGGGTTCAGGCAGTCTGAGCGTCATCTGGCGGTTGTCTAACATATTTTTGATTCAGTTAAACTTTTGTTGAGCAATCTCAGTTCATGTTAACTTAGTGTTGCTCAACAACTTATATGGTAGTGCTTCTATTTTGTTGAAGCTTTGACTAACCGATTATAGAAGGCCTCCCTTCCCAAGAACTGTCTCAATTTCCTTTTAGAATTAGGTACTCAATGTTCCTTATTGTCAGAATTCTCTAACGCAGTGGCCTTATTTTTCCATTTCCCACTTCATGCCTCAACAGCGTGACGCTACTTTTCACTATCTGCGACTTGTCCCTATTAATTCGAAGTAAAAATTCTTTAACTCGCATCAAGACTGCTTCCTCACTCCCGATGTGGTCTGTTTCTGTACGGCTGTACACAACTAAATCGTCGCCATGCAACACAACGCCATCGACATACCTGAGCAGCAGCGTCATTATTCTTCGAACGTAAGTGTTGCCCTCTTTAACCAAAACGACATTAATCTAATAGATACTATTTGTCAAGTACAACAAATACTGTCTTGTTTCTATCGCACTATTTTATAGGCAGTTGATAATTATCTAACCGCAAATCCGACACTGTAAACACCGTAGTATTTTGCAGCCTATCCAACGTTTTCACTACTCCTGGTATTGCACAACGTCTCAGTCCTGTTGTGTTGTTTAGTTCTCTAAAATCGACACAAAATCCATACTTTCCATTCGGTTTCTTTACTGAGAGTACCGGCGAGTTATACGGGCCGTCCGCTCCCACAATCATACCTCCTTTCAGCACTTCCTGAACCTGTCGATTTACGTCAGCCTCTAAATGCACAGGGACATGACGTGTTATGAACATGTTTACTCCACTGTTCTTTATCAGGATTTCGTCCTTTACCTTGTCACAAAATCCGTACGGCTCTCTGTCTCCATTGAACAGTTTTGTATACTGTGTGCACAACTCCTTAATGTTTGTTTTCTTCGTTGAAACGTCTGTTGCCATTCTTATCTCGGCCACTCTGTCACTTTCATGTATTAGGAGTGAACCTTAATTTGTGACCACGTCACCTCTTATTAGGTCGACTATTCCTTCTACCTGTCCCAGAAAATCTGCCCATAATATCGGTCTGGATAGACTTGTCGTTACCAAGAACAGGATATTTATCTCAGTAACACTCACTTTTACGAAACTGTTAGACAAACCCATCACCTCTAACATGTGCCCTCCTATGGTGTGAACTGTTGATGTACATGGCTTGGCTTTCTTACGTTGCTCTTAACCTATTAACGATACTGCTGCCTTTGTTTAGATCACACACGCCGAATCTCGTTCATTTATGTTCACTATTGTGCAAACTGCCTCTCCATCTACTAGTGCAACTACACCCATATTCCTAGGGCAGAAAAAACACACATTATAAGGTCTAAAATATCTGCGTCTTCATCTTGTCTCTCAATGTCTTGTCCCTCCACAAGCGCACCACTTACCATTCCCATTATGATTCGTCTCACGCCGCAGCTCCTCAATCTTCTTCTCGACACCGTTTATCTCCTGAATTCCGCACCCCACCAGAGGATACCGTTCGGGTTACCAGCTGTCGGATCACGTTCCCCAGTTCACTGGTATCCATAGGTTGTGTGGCCTTTACCAGTTTCAGCTGCTGGGGGGCAGTGGCAGGCACACTCTCGACTAACATTGACGTCAACGACCGTGCCTCCAACTCCTCATCCAGACGCAGCAGCGCGCGGCGCAACAGCCCGCACCTTTATCTGGATGTGTCTTAATCAAGTATTTATTGTTTCTTAGTAGTTTTAGTTGATTTCTATGTTCTTTCGTTAGAAGACTTCTACCCGTTACATTGTGCTAATATACTGGTTGCAGCTATCGAGAAGAGTAGATTTGAAACGTTTGAGTCCTTGGTCCGAGACTGGACCATGTCTCACAGAAGTTCTTGTATCATTATCACTGTAATTAATATCATCCTGGAAAAATAAGTATATATATTTGCTATTGTACAGCTCTGAAAGTGAATTAACCGAGAAGAGATCTCTTCGCTGAACCAATTTTTCATATTCAAAACCGTCTCAGATGACAGATTAAAATTTCAAACTATAATTGATCAGAAAGATCTCAATAACGATATAGAGAACGAGCCTGCCAGATCTTTGAAGAAGTTCAGGGTCCAACAGACTATTTGGTCGGGTTTATATTAAATGATCAAACCAGTGAGAACCCATCTGCCAAGACTGTTTGGAATACCATTAAGACCAATTTTAGATATATGCAAAACAGTGTGTAGAATGTATTACAATTTGTTGACAAGATCAACAATGCAAATACTTGGGACTAAAGATGATGTCATTGGATGTGACATGATTATTCACAAATCTTCCACTGATAGAGACCGTAGAACATATGGGTGAACAACCGACTGAAAGTGAAACTGAAACCACAGTTGCTATTAATGTCGTGATAGAATTATAACTGAAATGTACCATGAATGTGAACTTCAAGTTCAACGGAGAAATACACAGACAAACGGGTGATGTTGCACTGGGTTCAACAATGGGCCCTATAATAATAATAATAATAATAATTTATTCTCAAATAACAGTTTGTTACATGAGGCATGCCAGTTTACAGGCAAGATCAAATTGATACAAATGATACAATATACACTGTATTAAATTACATAGCTGGGTTGAAAATTTATAAGACATGAATGTAGATTGTTTTAATCAGTACTACAGTTGGCGCGCTTCACGAGAGTTGCGTTGCGAATGTGCGACTGACGATCAAGAATAGGTCCATTGAAGGTATGAGCTTCTAGAAATCGCAACCTTATGTCCCTTTGGGATATCCAAGGCTTTAAGGATGGTGCAGGATGAAGTAACCTGTTCCATATCTCAAGGGAGCTGAAAGAGGGAGGAAGTAAAAGAAAACACGAGAGGCAGAGTAGCCAATATTCATGTAGGAATGTTTAAGGTATGATTACTCAGTCTAATTTTCTTTTATTAAGGTATTTGTTAAGAAAGAGCATTTTAATAGGTTAAAGAAAATAAGCTTTAGCAAGGTGTGAGTGGACATACAACTGACAAATGGAGGCGACTCGGAAAAGAGCTGAGAGTATAAGATTATGTGTGATTATAAAATAAAATATAGTGCTAGAAACAGTATTGTGATATACAACTGGCTATCTTCCTTTTATTATCGAAGCTATTAGAGCCCCTTTCGTTTTTTTTAAGGTTTTATAGGGTCTTGAGTAGGCTTCGTATATTAGCGAATTGTCTAGTTTGCTTGTAATAGGATTTCTGAGTAGGAAGTGAAACCAATTTAACGTTCGTAACACGATTTAAAGAGGTATTTTGCGTGATAAATCAGCTTCAATACCTTAAGTCCGTGACATCCCACTAAACCATAAGGAGCCGTAATTAAACAAAATGTTCTGCCCTACAGACATGGGTGGATTGAAGTTATCTCCCCACCTTCATGTTTGCTGGTCAGTAACGCTGACATTTTTCTGACCAGAATAGAAAGTGATCCACTTAGACAGA